TGAAGAGATGTTGAAGAGCTCAACAGTTTAGAGCACTTGCTCAAATCTAAGACCCACGTTTAGTTTCCAGCACCCACATGGCAGCTTACAACAGTACTTAACAGAGTCCTAGGAGTTAAGGCACTCTGTTTTGGCCTGTGAGGGCATCAGGCACTTGCAAAGCGACTATCATAAATGCAGGCCAAACACTCACACACATAAAAAAAATATATATATATGTATATATATAAATTTTAAATAAATTTTAAAGCGCCTTGCCTGGAGCTGCCTGTGCTGCCATAGCCATCAGTTTTGCAGCCCTCATGGCTGCCCTCCAGCCTCTGGTGAAGCCCAGGATAGTCAAAAAGAGGACCAAGAAGTTCGTCAGGCACCCGTCAGACCGATATGTGAAAATTAAGGGAAACTGGCAGAAACCCAGAGGCACTGACAATAGGGTGCAGAGAAGATTCAAGGGCCAGATCTTGATGCCCAACATTGGTTGGGGGAGCAACAAGAAAAATCAAGCACGGACTACCTAGCGGCTTCCGGAAGTTTCTGGTCCACAATATCAAGGAGCTGGAAGTGCTACTGATGTGAAAAAAAAAAAATCTTAACTGTGCTGAGATTGCTTACGATGTGTCCTCTAAGAACCAAAAAGCCCCAGCACTTGGGAGGCAGAGGCAGGCGGATTTCTGAGTTCGAGGCCAGTCTGGTCTACCGAGTGAGTTCCAGGACAGCCAGGGCTACTCAGAGAAATCCTGTCTCGAAAAATCAAAAAAAAAAAAAAAAAAAAAAGAAAGAAAGAAAGAAAGAAAGAAAGAAAAGAAAAGAAAGAACAGCACAGCCAGTCTTCAGAGTCACCAATCCCAACCTCAGGCTATGCAGCGAAGAAAATGAATAGATGGCTTGCGTGTATGTTTTGTGTTTAAACAAAACCACAAAAACTTCCCCCAAACCGCCAAAAAAGCAAAGGGGCTGGAAAGATGGCTCAGCGGTTAAGAGCACTGGCTTTTCTTCTAGGCATTCTGAGTTCAATTCCCAGCACCCACGTGGTGGCTCACAACCATCAATAACTTTAGTCCATGGCAGCCAATGGCGGCTTCTGGTGTGCAGATGCCAAGGCAGATAAAACACCTATATACATAAAATATATAACTACATGAATCTTAAAAATATATTAATAAACAGAGATGGGACAGGCAGAGTTACTAACATGGCAAAGCATGAGAATCAAACATGGCTCGGGGATTCATCCCGGATGTCTTCTCAGTCCTGAACAGAGGGGCCGAGAACAGACTTAGAAGAGGAAAGAGACCCCTGGAGTCCCTGACAAACTTGGTTCCGGGTATTTGCTTGAAACAGGGTTTTGCTTTAGAATCCAAGCTGACCCCAAATTCAAGCTCTTCCAGCCTCGGGCCTCTGCAGAAAAAGTTGGGTTACAGGTAGAGCACACCACACCTGGCCATCTTGGTTGTTCACGAGCACATTATAGATTATACTAGAATTCTCAACTGGGGCCTTGTGCCTGCTAGGCAAGGGCTTTCCAATCACACTGCTCCCTCTACACTAGGACTTCCCAGGGAAGAGTTATTCTGTGGGAGGGAGTTGTCTCACCTCCGAGTGACCGACTACTAGGAAATCATCTGGAGGTGGGGGAACTGGGCTACACTGGGACTTTCTCTCACTGAGTTTATCCACAGGACTGACCAAAGCAGACCACAACTTCATTTTTTTTTTTCAAGATGAGATTTCTCTGTGTATCCTTGGCTGTTCTGGAACTCTCTCTGTAGACCAGTTTAGTTTCTCTCTCTCTCTCTCTCTCTCTCTCTCTCTCTCTCTCTCTCTCTCT